AATATCGGCGCCGACAACGTGTGCACAACTAAACAGTGTAGACGTGATATACTTTGCCGTCTAATTACCTCTCTATCACATCATAACTACTTTTGCAATAAATTCCTTTAATTTTTATATTTTTCCCACATTTTGTAAACTATTATATATTTTTTGACACAATATTTTATAATTTATATTCTAAATCAATAATTAATATAATATTTAACTTATTTATTAGAAGAATAAAGTTATTTATTAATAAAAATAACGTTTAAAATACATTAATCTTACCGTTAAAATAATGGATTATTTGGTGACAATTGTTATCAACTAATTAAACCCACAATTATTTAGCAATAATTAAATATTTTTATTTACAACGAGTCAAAACTACACGCGTTGTATTTGTGATAAATAAAGCATGCAGTAGATTAGTAACTTATTAATAATACGTGATTAAACCCAATCTAAAAGCAACAAAGTTATTAAAAAATAATTAAAATGTCAAAAAGTGATAAGAATTTTTATCTATTACTATTTTACTAATAGTTTTATAATTAATAAATGATAATTAATTGACCAAAAATTTCTGGGATTGTTTATATTTTGCAAAATTAATAAATTGTTATTAATACTTATTATTGCAATATTAATTATTATAATTATATAATTATAATTATTAATAAGTCAATATACAGTATCCCTTTAATTGCAAAACAATACTGATTGGAGAGACCGGTCTATGGCTCACAAGTCAGAGCTTTAATCCCATATCAGTTGTAAAATAAGTCAAACCTTCAAAAAATAAAAATAACAATAATTGCAAAACATATTTCATAATATAATTAATTAAAATATTACTAGTTATGCAATGGTATTGAAATATTGTGTAAGTTGACCAGAATATGCATTAATAAATTAGCAATCTGAAAAACAAATTTAACCTGGATACTTATGCATCGTTCATCTGTTCTACATATTCACAATTTGATTAAATATTAATTTAGATTTCAATATAAATGTTTACATAATAGAGAAGTGCTTTCACTGAAACAGATTTGAGGAAAAGGCAGTAAACATTTTATTTACTATAAATTGTCGTTATATTTATTGAATCAAATCATATATTGTTAATAAAATGTGTCCAAAACTCTATGCGTTTGGAGTTTATCCTCAATATATTGAGTGTTTATTTTTGTTTATTTAATTCATATCAATGTTTAATCATTGGATTATTTAATACTATTGGTTAATATTGCGCTGAATTGAAGTGTTTAACGATTTTGTCACAAAAATAGTTGATTGCCTTCACATCGAAAAACTGTGGCTCTCTTTGTGTACAGATGTTTAATAATATTTGAACACATTTTTGCAGTTTAATAGACTGTTCACTACTGTTGCCAAACAATCAAGTGATGGATAATAATAATAAATGTCTGAATGCCCGGGAAGTGGCCCAACAAAGGTATCGGGATATCATCGACAATGGCAAAATGTACCATGGTATTTCGCCCAATGTCGACCCCAACACTCCACCCCATTGGTTTGATAGGAAAAAGTTTGCTAGATCACAAAAGTTGGCTCATGAAAACTATGGATGGTATGAAACTATTTATTTAAATTATAATTATGTAAAAATGTGTTTTTTAATTAACATTTTGTATATGAATGCTATGTTGTGTTCATCATTAAATGCAATGACAAACATATACTGTACCAGAATTTGTATGCAATTTAAACTGTTAAGCAAAGAATTAATAATCATAAGTTATATTATATCTTGCTACAAATAATGGTCAGAATATGTCAGTAGAGCACAAATTAATACTACAGAACACAACTATGTGTTCAAACTTTTGCTATATTTACTACTTTTAATCATATTTAAATATTTACAATTTAATAAATTGCTAATACAATGTATGAGATGTTAAATTTTACAGAAAAATAATTTATTTATTTTTTGACATTGAAATAAGATTTTGTTTTTGTGTTAACTTTATTGGCCATCATTTCAAGGATTTTACACACAATAACTTTCTTTGCATAAAATGTTTATACTTTTGTAACTTTGTTGATATTTTTTTGTAACTGATTTAATATTTTTAATTTATTTTAAAAAACTAGAATTTGTTTGTGTGCTATTAAATCGATAGATAATTAAACCATTTATTATAGAATAACCATGTTTACGTTAGTGAAAGTGTAAATCAGTTCATTGTCCCATTAAAGTTATCATTTCAAATTTTATTGATGTTTACAGTTATATAATTTGTTTATAATTTTTTATTTAAAAATGAATACTCATTTGAATTGAGATTATTTAAATAATCTGTTAGATTTGTTTCTATTAAAAGTTTATTTAGCATTAATTTACTACACAATTGTTTTCTCAATGAATTGTTAGGTACATTACAATTATTAGCAAAATGCATACAAAACTATTTATATAAAATACATGCACTATTAATGTCAAGGTTTTGCTAAACTTAAGTTCCCTTAAAATATAAGATTTTCATAATAATTGTAAAATAAGGAAAATTGATAAACAATTTATTAAAACAATAAAATATTAATTTTGTATTTATTATACAATGAAAGCTTACTTTTTGGCCAATTCGCTGGACTATTGCTAGTGCTGTACCACTCGGACGGATTGGCGCCGTTGGCGGTGACGGGCAACTCATCAAATGTGCAAAAACTATTTCGTCGATATCTGTCGACAATGATTCACGTGAAGTATTGGTACGAATTTGATCCGTTCGACAGCGACAGCAAAGCGTATAAATCGCTAAAACACGTCAGAGGTCTTCATCGACAGGTGTCGGCGAAGATGAACGCCTCGGGGGGTCGGGTGGAGGGCCGGGACCGGCTGTGGATCCCGCAGTACGGTATGGCCGGCGCCCAGTTCTCGTTCATCGGTTTAGTGGCACTCTTTCCCAAACAATGCGGTTTGCATTCACTCACTGACGAGGACTTTGATTCGTTGCTCTACTTCTGGCGAGTGATCGGCTATTGTCTGGGAACTGACGACCGGTTCAATCTGTGCTCGGGATCGGCCGACGAAGTGGTCCAACTCTGTCACCTCATTTGGACTGAAGATTGGTATCCAGTGATCAACACAACGCCCATCGCGTGTCCGGCCGGCGAAGAGATGTCAAAAGGCATTTGTTTGGCTATGAATCGGGTGTCGAAGTTTATCCGCTGGAATGTGATCATGAAATACTGGTACCCAATACTCAACATAACAAAACCCATTCAATTGCAATCGTTTGCCGACTATTTCTGGTTTTATGTCATCAAATCTATGATGAAATTCTGGACCAAATTCACCATTTGTCGCAAATTCATGTCCGCCAGCGCTCGACTCAATATAGCGATCGCAACGCGTTTTAAAAATTATAAATACAATAATTTGAGCCAAGAATACGCGGATCTGAGTTTTGGGAATACGAGCTGTCCTTTTGATGTCAATTTCAATTATGTCGATGTCTTCGACACCATTAAAGACAAGGAATGCACACAACTATAAGAAGTTACTTGTGTTCAAAACAATTATACCATAATTCATACAATTCTTATGATTTGTTTATTTATATTATATTACATTGAGTTAGTATTTGTGCCAAAATATTAATTAGACTTTATATTATATAACTGCAGAGTCTATACCCCATTGTGTCTATATCTCATTGTCTCTTTATTATTGGATGATATTGTGGGTGTGTATAATGCGTAATGTATGGGTTCAGTCAATTGTGGGGCAGAAAGAGGGGACAGGCAATGAGATATAGACACAATGGGATATAGACTCTGCAGTAACAATTAATAGCATATTTATAATAATTAAATATTTACAAATTAAAACAAGTCCTTAAATTTCCAGTACGAGTCTTCAGCGAAGCCCTCAATCACGTGATCGCAGATCACTTTCTCCCGGGACTTGCAATACACTGTTGTATCAATGATTTGAGCCTTCAATGAGTCCATTGTCACCAAATTTGGGAAAATTTTACTCTTGAGTTCAGACAACTTTGAGACACTCTTCTCGAGGTCTAACATATTTTCGGCCAAAATGATGGACTGATTGTTGCCTTCGATATAATACAGGAATGGGAGACAATAGATAAGTGTGAGCCGACACTTGCAAAGGGTTGTCAATGAATTGTAGAGCAACTGTTTGCAGTCCCACCACATCTCCATCTCCACCAACGAATCCATTTTGGTCTTAAAAACCGCCAATTCATTGGTCTGTTCCTCCAGAAATAGCTGTTGGTCAGTAAAGCGAGTCCAATAATGTTTGAACTTGGTCAGTTTGCTTCTATTTGGGACAGAGAATGGGGCGGGCGGTGGCCCCACACCAATGGACGCCATCCATTCGTTTTCGTCCAGTATAGGAGGTAATGGGGGTATATTGGGTGCCCGTATTCGCCCCCGAAATAATTTGCCCAATCGATTGCATTGACTGCACTTTTTAACGCCTGCTTTGGTCGGAGCCATACATCGCTCGCAATTGTTTGGACGCCTTAGTGTCCAAACTGAACCTCCGGTCCCATCTTTCTTACACTTTCGGCGCCATCGGTGCAGAAATGGGGATAAAATGGATAAATTATCCGGCATTTGATTCATTGCTGACTATTTTTATCACACAATTGCAGTAATATAAGAAATATTGGATTAATTACACCTATAAATGAAAAATATATAAGGATTAGGGGGTGTAATTATTATTAAAATCTTGAAACTGTAACCGAGCGGTGACACGGGTGTGATTTTTGTCAACTAAAATTTGCACACAAATGTATTGGACATAAATCTACCCAAAAACACATTTGGTTTTGCTACATGGTATCCACTTATTTTTGTCCAATACATTTGTGTGCAAATTTTGATTCACACAAATGACACCCGTGTCACCGCTCGGTTACAGTTTCAAGATTTTAATAATACTCACTTTGGTGTCGACTAATTATTGAGATGAATGAATAATAATGAGAACATTAATATTAATGCCCACTCTTATAGTATATGAATGTCATATCCCATCCAATCTCAATCATTATATGTTTGGTGGATATGTTTTAATAATATGAATTTAAACAAACATGACTATTTTATATTTCAATCCAATATTAACCACATACATTCATCTAGTTAGCATAAGGTGAAAAATATGACATTCTATCATTGATAGCAAACCGACCAAACATATGATATACTGTACTTTATGTTCATTTTAAAAATAGTATTCAACGACAGAATAAAATCTCAAAAACAATTCTTATAAATATTTTGATAATAATTAGCAATAGTTTTGTAGATATAAA